GGACGATCACGACTCGAGCCAGAAGCGCAACAACACACCGTCGGAGGAGAACCTCGCACAAGCAGGACGAGCCGCGAAGTAACCTATACTAAGAAGCTAAGCCAACCCACGAGACTCGCACGAGCTGCGAAGCACCCCACTGGGAAGAGACAGGCTACATATAAACCTGTAGAATAGCTAAAGAGAAGTAAACGTGTAAAACTCGGTCCTAACATGATAACGTAAACGTGGCACAGTCAATATAATTAATAATATATATATCTAACGGCTATAATCGAGATACGTGAGGCAGTGAGTGTTTGTGTTATTCCATGTCATCCGTCCATATGAAATTAAATCTAATCAGTTGCATAAATAGCTAATCTAAAGACTATGCGGTCATTCAGCTCTGTTTCTCGGCTACTGGCATCACTGTCCACCATCGCGTAGGAGCGACAAAATATCCCGTGGAAACAAATAAAATTTCCATATTAATGCAGGAAGCTGTGCCAGATGGTATGGTCTGGATGACTCTCTTGTCTACCGAAGTTACAAAACGAATGGAATTCTTCACTCAACTGCAAAAAGCAGAATGGTATAATCTTCAACAGATGGCTAATCGCAAAACCATCCAACCTATCTAATGTGATATCTTCCTATCATCCAGCAGCACATTCCGGCGCTGTGCTATTAACAACGTGGGAAGAGGATGATGGAAATTATCACGTGAGGTTCGTTTCAGCAAAGTCACGTGTGGCCCCACTGAGAGCTATCTCTATTCCTCGGTTGGAGTTGCAATCCACTGTCCTCGCAGCCAGACTCTGTGCTACTGTGATGGAAGAGATGTAAGTGAAACCTGACAAAGCTGTATTCCTGTCTGACAGTATAATTGCCTTGTCCTGGATTAGAGGCAGTTTAAGTCTTTTGATGCAAACAGAGTATCAGAAGTACAGAGCCAGACCGACCCATCAGATTGGCGACGCATACCAGGGGAATATAACATCGCGGACAAAGTGTCCAGAGGGATTGCAATCGATGACTTGGAAGGTGAATGGAAAAATGGTCCAGCCTTTCTCCGGTTGACAGAAGAATGGCCAAGATGCATTCGCAAAGCTGAGATAAACGAGATTAACAAAAAGAAAAGGAAAGAGAGAAAAACTTAACTGTTAGTAAGGGAAGTAGAATGTGCCATTGAGTGTACAAAGTTCTCCAATTGGAGGAAGTTGATCCGTGTGACAGCATACGTTTTTAGATTTCTGACCAATCTGAAATCCAAATGCCTGAAGGAAGACGGGCCGCTGTCAGCAGAAGAGCTTTCCACAGGAGAGAAATACTGGATCAAAGAAGCTCAGAAGAATGTACATGAAGACATGGAGAAGGGTGTATTCAAGTCCCTGAGTCCTTTTCTGAAGGAACATATCATCTATGTGGGAGGACGAGCTGGGAACAGTTTGCTCTTCTACGAGTCTAGACATCCAGCTTTGCTGCCAAGAGAACATCACATATCCTACTTAATCACGAGGAATGTGCATGAATGTGGCAATTACGGTGTTGCCACCACTGCTGCTAAAGTTAGAAGCAGATACTGGATAGTTGGAGTGACGAGGCTGGCGAAGAAGGTGAAGTTCAGATGTGTAACCTGCCGGGCCTTCGACCACAATGCTGAGACACAGAGGATGGCAGATCTTCCAGTAGAGAGATTGGCGCCATTCACCCCGACATTCTATTTCACTGCCTGCAATTATTTTGGGACATATGTGGTAAAGGTTGAACGGAATAAAACTACAAAACACTATGGAGTCATCTTCACTTGCCTCAACACAAGAGCTGTTCACTTGGAAGTAGCGGTTGATTGTTCAACTATGGAATTCCTGCAGGTATTGAGACGGTTCTTTGCCATCAGGGGACATCCAAAAGTAATACAGAGCGACAACGGTACGCAGTTTGTGGGCGCCCAGAGGCAACTGAGAGAAATGTTGACTGGCTGGAGTAAGGATGAATTACAAGACTTCTGTGCAGAGAGACAGGTTAAATGGAAATTCATTACACCACTGGCTCCACATCAAAATGAATGTGCTGAAGCACTTGTAAAAAGCTGCAAGCATGCTGTGAAGAAAGCAATCGGCGAACAACAACTCACCCCGTTTCAGCTGCATACCTGCCTACAAGAAGTGGCGAATCTTGTAAACGAATGACCCTTTGGAGGACTACTGAACGATCCAGACGATAGTAAGTATATTTGCCCGAACGACATCCTGTTGGGACGAGCCTCCAGTAGGGTTCCACAAGGACCGTTCCGTCCGACGAAGAATCCGAAAGACAGACTGGAATTTGTTCAGCGCATAGTCGATGCCTTCTGGAAGTCATGGATTCGAGATGTCTTCCCGCTGCTGGTTCCTCGAAGGAAATGGAACGTGGACCGTCGGAATGTCAGGGTAGATGATGTTGTTCTGATGGCTGACCCTAACATGATTCGGGAAATGTTAATAACAGCTTGGTCGAATCACTGAAGTGTACCCGGGAAAAGACAATTGAGTGCGAAACGTCCAAGTCAAAACGGCGAACAAGTAGTTCAGTAGACCGTTAAATAAGATAGTAGTCATATGTCCTGTAGAAGGGTATGAGTAATTTGAACTGTAGAGCAATTATCAGTACTGTATGGGTAGAGATGCGAGAGTGACGTCGCATCGTGGGGGGAGGATGTTTTGAGCGAAACTAGGATCTCACACCGAGAGGTGGCACTGGTGCTGGTTTAAAGCACAATCCGGGGAACAAGAATGGGCTCGAAACTAATTTGTTCCATTTGAGCCCGTGTGCCATTGTGATAACATGTTAGGTGAGTTGTATCGATTTGATTCATGTTAATTTGTTCAATATGTAAACGTTGGTATTAGCATGTAATATGTTCCTGTTTAACTTGTAACATTCAATGTGTAATAGTAAAAGTGTAGTGAATTACAGTACTTGTAATGCTGCTGTTGATAGACCACAGCTGCTTGTGTAAATAGCCTATACTAAGCCATTCAAGGTCAAGGCTTACCGTGAAGCACACTGCATGATTATAGCTGGAATTTGACTGTAATGTGATACTGCAAGTTGCAGTTGGGAGTTAGTGTGGAATTTAACCAGTTTATCTGGATGTAGTCAATGTTATGTGGAGGAAGCGTAGTGAAGAAGATTCAGGTAATTTAAGAGAATCTTGTTTTGTCTGCTTGATAGTATTTATGATACCAATGATTGTATTACAGGATTGATTACCTGCTGAACTGACCGTGTGACCGACCTTTGTGTGACAGTGCACGACATTGGTTTTAGCAGAAAATGTCAGTTACATCCGGTCACAGTAGTAAGTTGATTATTGTATGTTTAACTGAGTTGATGCAGATACATATATCTTTAAAGATTATGCAATCTATAGGATGGAAATATGGGATTTCGTGCAATGTTTTTCTTTAATATACGAATGGTTGATTTGTGTTTCTGTTGATTGTTGTTTCAACCTAAAGCTGTTTTTGTTTATTCATTCTTCACAGAATTGAATGCTGATCAATAAAACGATATCATACATTAAGACCAGTTGTAACTGCGTGCTTCTTCATCTTCATCGAGCCTTCCAATAGCCGACGCCCCGATACCAAACCGCTAGGCTAACAAGAACGTTAGAACGAAGACACTCATTCATTTGATAAAATTGTACAATTTAATATGCTAAGAGAATAACTGTGACTTAGTATGCCAAGTAGTTGGCTATGCCGCTATCTTGCAAATATACGAATATAGGGAATCGTCATGTTCTGTGTCACGCATGTTTAGTTGTCTCTTTATCTTTATACGGAAACATGAGTAGACATTTTTATTACCCGGTATGATATTTGTCACCTGGTATAATTTAGATTTTACGCAGAATATATTAGTTACTGTTTATGCAAATTTGTGTCATTGCATTCTAACGAATAACTATAGAATAAATAACCTTATAACCGAAACCTGTATATTTCTCTCGTCTCAAATTACGCGTCTTCATCGGCGCAAATGCCATGAGAACACAGGCATAATAATTATAAGCTCCTTCTATAATATTATTATTTTGTGCTTGTCTCCACTACACTAAGTGAACAAAATAGAAAGTATAAAATATAACTCCTGATTGATATATATCAAGAGATATGCAGTAAAACTCGCATAAGTCGACACTTTTGGGACCTGCATATTTGTGTCGACTTACGAAAATGACGACATACGCTTAAGTCGTCATTTTGTCGACGAGTAAGCATAATAAACAAGCGAACAATGGGAATGAAGCAATCACTTCATACAGTCAGTCATGTACACAACATATATCATCAAAGCAACAAGTCAACTGATGAGCGAGCTTCTATGCGTATCACGCTGTGTACATTGTGCATCATATAACGCCATTCATTGACTTACGTAATAGCAGTCATGAGTACGCGCGCATGAGCGTGACGGTGGCACTGTGCGTGGGCGCGTATGCAGGCACGTGTGCGTGAGTGTGTATGTATGCGTGTGGTGCGGTGTGTGTGTGTTTGTGTGCCTGCGTATGTGTGCGTGCGTGCGTGCGTGCATGCGTGCGTGTATGATCCCTCAGTTGCCTCTCTGCTTTCTAGTGATATATATATATATATATTATATACATGCATGTATATATAGTGTGGCCCTGTTATAACGCGATCGTTTCGGTAAAATGTCATCGCGCATGTCTCGCGCTAAATCAGGGCGGCGCTTGTGCATATACTGGACCAAGGGGGTTGCATAACCCATACACGTGTCAAGCGAGGGGGTTGACAACACCCAGGCACCTAAGGCACGGGAGAGGGCGGCACTGCCAGGATCCTACGCCACCGCAGGGTCCTATATAAGCAGCCAAGATCCAACGCTAAGCCTAGATACACTATTTTTCCGGCCTGATGTTGGCTTCAAAGGCACAGAAGCGTCCGCGTACAGACGTCAACATTTCAAATGCTAAAGCTGCTAAGACTACAAGTGGCACTATAGGTAAGCGTAATGTGGGTGTGTATGTGGGGTGTAGCCTATATCTTACACTTGATTTATCATATACTCAATGTTAATTGTTGTTCATTATGATATAAAATGTAAATTAGCATCATGGAAACGTTTTTATTCCACGTGAAAAAAAAAGATAGGAAATAAGAAACACAAGCAATAACTCGTTTTGCAACCATATGGAGCAAAAACAAAACTTCTCAATTGCATTAAATGAGTTGGACTATTTAGCATGCTTGGAGAAGTGTTAACTGATGCAAGTAATTTTCACAGTTACGTATTATTTTTTAATTAATACTTTCACTAATACGGCAACGGCCAGTAAATTTTTGTGATGATTTCAGGGAAACATATGTCCATGAAGTTTATTTTCATAACGTTCTGCATACTTTCATGCACAAGTCGAAACGATTATAATAATAAACAGTGTTCAAAGTGTGTGTATTTTTGTGTATAAACATTGTATGGCAAAGCCAATCACAAATCCAAATTGTCCTATGTTTTTCCAGAACCAGATCCACACCAACAGGAGCCAACAACAACAGAAAGAGCAACCTCATCCTTAGCAAGTTCTGCAACAGGTAAGATAATTACACTTTTTAAGCAGTAGTGGAAAATTAGTAACTCCAAAAATCGGCTTGAGCTTAACGGTTGCCCGCTTGGCCAGAGCAAGTACTTCGGGCTATAGGGCAAGTCATTTGCCCCTTAAACTTGCCCGAAGGGGGCAAGCGGATAGACGCGCGTAACATCGTAGCTGGTAGACGCGCGTAACATCGGAGCTGGTTTTACTTGCCCTACAGGGCAAGTGAACTTTCAAAGTTAACGTAGAGCCCTGCACAGGGAGAGCAAAAGGGGCGAACAGTGATAATGAATATGTTAATCGAAAACGATCTCGTCAAGAACAAACTTGTGTGATTCATTGCACCGACGATAACACAAATCTGGTTGCCCCTCAAGATAATAAATCCTGCAAAACCCTTCTAAAGGCTGCTGTTATTCGTAGGCATCAGCCACTCCTTGCTATCGCCGAGACTTTAAATAAAGACAAAATTCTCGACCGAGGGTTAGGATTATAGTTAGGGTTTGTGGATACATTACGGGTGCGCATTTATTTCAAAAGTACGGCTGCCGTAGCAGTAGTCTGTGCTAAATTATTTATGCAGACCGAATTATATTTTCAGTGCCGCAATCACTTATCATGGAATGTCTCGTATAGCATTTTATACATTATTTTAGATGGAAATGCCAATCATATGGCGGAATTTGATAAGTTCCTGCAGTCTTGCCTAATGTTGGCTGCTTCTTGCCCACTGGTACCTTGCCCACTGGACTTTCCAAACAGGAAGGAAAGACCATAAAGAACAGGGCAAAGATGGGGTATACCGCCGCCGCCGTAGCCGTGCGCGGACAACAAACAGTGTACAGCCGGCCTAACTGCAGGCCTGCGTATGCCACGCCGCGCCTCATTTTCGGCCCATGTGGGGAGCAGATCGCCTACACGTCCTGGCAGCACTTCCTCGACGATGTCCTGAAGTTCCGGCGCCTCAACCCGGGCTTCACGGTAGTTCACATCGAAAGCGACTACCTGGAGTTGAAAGTCGTCCCCGTTGAAGCCGCGCCACGCGCAGGTCTCTCCTGGGAGAACCAGCATCGGCCGGCGCACATGGTGGACGACGAAGCCTGGATGAGGGGTGACGACGAGGACGCCGAGGAGGAAGAGGAGCAGCACTTCTACAGAGGGTACCGCTGAGGAGCCCCACGAGGACGGCGACGACCACCACAGCGACGACGAGGACACATGGATTGAGAACCTCCTTTGGATCTGTGTCCAACCAGTATCGATGTTAATGGTGCTGTTGTCGTGGAACCTGTCTGAGAGGGGTCTGCTTGGCCAATTGAAAGGAAAAGAGACAGGGAATATCCAGGGGGCTGGTTTATCTTACTACCCCAAGGAGTGGCGGCATCTGCTGTTCAGCCTTGGTGGTGGCAAGCGGAATACCTCAGTTGTGTTCAAAGCAGCTCAGCTCTTGGCATTAGGAGGTGCAACCAGGCTTCTAGCTGGTGGTACGATCAGCTCGGACGCCTTTGACGGCAACTATTGGGCCATAAAAACGGTTTTCGCAGGACTCCCGCTTGTTCCAAAGATGCAAGACGCTCGGGACAAGGTGGTGATGAAAGGCGAAACTAGGATCATCGCTCCAGTGAAAGCTGCGAAGCGTTCCATGCGACTTTTCGGAATGGCAGAGACCGGCGGTGTAAGGCAATTTAAAGGGTGGCTTGGCGAGCGAGGCCGGCTACCCAAGTTAGATGAGCCCGGAAGGATCTTGTTCCTTGGTTGTGGAAGTGGTGCTTGGCTTTTGTGCGCCGACAAGTTGGTGCCCAAAACTGTTGAGTTCGATTTCATGACCTTGAAGAGTAGGTCTGAGTATCCGAGAGCAGAACTTCTTCAGGACCGGACAGTGGTAGATGTTGGAGGAGAGAGTGGAAATCTGACATATCAAAGAGACACTAGTGCAATAGACGGAAAAATTCTACTGCATCCTGAGTACGGCCTGGACGGTAGGAAAGGCATCCGTGGATTTGAAGAATATTCGCATTTTGCAGTCTCTTCGTGAGCTGAGCGGAAAGTTGATAAAAGGAGGCTCCAGGACGGTAGAGTGTCAAGCTGGACACGATCGGTACTGGAGATGGCTGGACGATCTCTCAGCCAATTTCTCAGCCAGTGACGTAGTGCATTCCAACCACAAAAAGCCCTGGGCCATATCAATACTGGTCACTTTCGTGGGCTACAAGAAAGGAAGCCATCGCGTCTCAATGAAGAGAGATAGAGTTGAGAGAGCAATAGCAATCGAGCTGGACACTACCTTGGAGGAAGTAGGAATCAAAGCGGCACAGGAGATACAACTACCTATTGAGAATGTTGACCTTGAGCGCTTGTACGATGAGAGTAAGGACCCGACCTACGGCAGAGTCATTCCAGCCGTAAGGGATGTCAGCACTACTACAAGCTGCTTGGTTAAAAATGTTGAAAATAGGAAAAACTACTGGACAGGAAGGACAGCAGTTAAGAAACATCTGAAGGTACTCGGTATCACGGTGCTCGGAATCCAGTGGAAGAGACTCATACTGTACGGAAGAATGTTCGGGACCCTTGGAAGGGTTTTTATGACCCAACCGAGGGCCCATGCTGGAATCTCGCAGATAGTCAACGGCAGCAGCTTAACAAGGTATGTGCCACCGGGATTCGCATGGCCCACCGATGACTCTGCCAAAGCGCTACTGGCATCAATGCAGAGTAGGATGGACGTCCCAGCTCATTGCCCGATATACGCTCACAAATTTTATTACCTAGGTCCTCTACCAATCACCCAGGACGGAAACAAATACATTCTCACCTTCACAGACTACTTAACCAAGTTTGTAGACTTTTTTCCACTACTAGACAAAACATCGAATTCAGTTGCAAGATGCATCAAGACCTTGTAAGCCATATAATGGTAGCTAATTCGCGTTCGTGTAGCTGCAGTCTATTCTCTTGCCATGGTTGGTAAGATTTTCCACCACCGACGCTAGTGAATTCGTAAAACAGCAGCAAAGCAAGAAGACAGCGGAAGCAACAAAGTTTTCAGTAAAAGTCGTGCGAGTTTTGTGAAGAAAGGGGAATGGCAAAGGACTTTCAAACCTACGAAGTGCCAGCAATGGTCAATCTATTGAAAGACTTTTTCTCGAATGTCAGAAATCAAGACGGTGAAACTTACAGCAAAAGTACGCTCTGTGCCATCCATCAAGGTATTCGACAATACTTACAGGAGCCTCCGCATGAGAGGAGCATCGACATACTTTCTGATCCCAGGTTTAAGAGTGCAAATCCCGCTTTTAACAGTATGCTGAAGAAGGCTAGGCAGGAAGGAAAGGGCCAGGTACAGCACAAACGACCCATACCTGCAGATAACTATCGGCACATATTTTCGTAGTTTCATATATTCGTTGTCATGTACAAACCTCTCTGTCTCCCCCTCGCCCTCTGCCTCTCTCTCTCTCTCTCTCTCTCCAACTTGAATCCTTAGGTGCGCAGACTTAACCGACAGCATTGCATGTTACAGGTGATCTTCAAAGGCTGTACCAGCATCCAAGAGCTATAAATCCAGACATACCAAACGGGTTGCTGCACAAGGTCATGTTTGAGATTTTGTTCTACTTTTGTAGAAGAGGAAGGGAAAACATGCGAGACCTGAAAGTGTCCGATTTCGAAGTAGCGTCTGATGAAATTGGCAGAAGATATGTTCGAGAGAAGACCAGTGAGCAAACGAAAAATCACACCGGTATTACCAACGAAAGTGAGGGTGACGGTGCAAGAATGTATGCGACAGGCACTAAAATGTGCCTTGTAAGCAGTTTCGAGAAATACATAGCCAAATGCAATCCTGACTGCGATGCTTTATTGCAGTATCACTGTGGCTCTTATCTAGACTCTGATGATTGCTGGTTCGAGAGAAAAACAATGGTGATTCTGAAGCATTACCAACAGCTAGCAAGCATATATTACTTAGTGGGTATATATAACGAGAGGGGATTGGTTACCTCTGCATGTCAATAAATACTGAAGTTCATGAGAATTGTTTTTAATACGGTACCACGTTTGGTGACATGTATATTTTCAGAGGCAATACAATGTGAACAATGTGGTGTTTCATGGACATTCTGCCCAAGATGTGACAATGAAAGGCACACTACCTTTCCTCTTCATGATCGCACAGCATGGATATGGGCCGAGAAGTGGCAGAAAGCACTGCTACTCCCTACTCAGGCAATTTCAAATGGCAGTGTAGTTGATATAAGTAGGTTGAATATACCTGTATACAGTATAGTTTAATAAGCAACTATTTACTTCATTGACATTGATCGAAGTAAATGCAATTTCTATCATTGAGATAATGACAGTTTCCCTGTTACTATTTCAGAAAGAGTGCTATCTATTCCAACACCCAACACCTGCGTTTGTTCTGGAACCTTTGAAGATGTGCCATTGCCGGGCCAACCAATCACCGTGATTACAACCACTGGTTAGTGCTAAGAAAATACTTAAATTACTGTTTTGTTGTTCTCAAAAATGAACATATAAATAAGAATATATTCCAAAGTATTGTTAACATTTTGTATAAATTTTCATAATTAAATGTTTAATCTTAGATATTTTTATTTTGAAAAAAAAAATGTGGTCAATTATGTTGAATTTTACACCATGCATGTAATTACCATTAAAAATTCTGTGTTCTTATCAATGTCAGTTGTCAAAATATTTTCACAAGCAAATTTTAGCAATTCATTACTCTCCTTGTCTGCAGGAAGATATGATGTGTTCATGCCAGTCTATAGCTGTACATCTTGCCAGGAGACTGCTACGTATGATATGCATCAGCTCTTTGGTTGTGGGTACTGG